GCGGCTGCGGAAGAGTGGCTCTGACCAGCAGGTGACAACCAGCCTGCTGCTTTAGACAAGCAGACGTTGCGGAGGAGTTACTTCGCTTTCCTTCCGACAGGCACAGACAGTGGAAAGAGTGAAGTCATGGCAAACCAAGGCGTGGAGAAGAGAGAGCGAGTGCTGGTTACTGTCACCCAAGGAGCAGTTGAATATCCAGATCCAAATGCACAGAAACTTGTATCCTCCAAAGTTGCAGAACTCAGGGGAGGTGCAGGGGGGCCAGAGGGACTGCTGATCTTGTTACAAGCACATCACTCCCCTGTGGTTCCTAGCACCTTGAGGCTGGGACCTTGGCAGATGCACAAACAGTTCTGGCTTATCTGGGCTGCAGTGACACCGAAAACAATTCATCTCAGACAAGGCCCAGAATGCCCTCAGCGTTTTCAACAGGGGCACCTGCCCTCCTGCAAGTCGCTCCAGAAATAATTCAGGACTTTCGTCCAGCACTTCAGCAGCATGAGGCTAACGGTTTTTAAAAATTATTTAAAGGTGCTTTTCCAGGGAGGAAAGCCCTAAGGACAGGATCTCCCTGTGCCTACTTCATGATCAGGAATTCCAGTTAATAACTTATAAAGAACCAATTTTTGTGTGCCATTCACACTGGTATTTTTAACACTGCTTTAAGCTTATTGCAGTACATTCACTGGGAATTTTCTGTTAAATGGGCATAATTTTCCCTAAATATGTGACAAAAAGAGAAGTTGCTTGCATGCTGACTCAAATTGTTCTATGCAAAAGCACTGTTAAAAGATACAGCAGAGTTACGCTAGCACCTTAATTTTTTTTTAATTTGAAATAAGTCCTTTATAAAGACCAGAGCAATGGAAAACAGTGTACTTATTTTCAATGCTGAATATAAACGTTTAAAAAGTTTCATCTTTTATGTATGCAGACACAAGTACAGATGGAATACAACAACCAAAAAAAGGGACAGGTGGATCTGTACTGAACATGTACAGGTATTTTTTTCTTGCCATTATTCCCTAAACAATACAGTATAACAACTATTTACATAGCATTTACATCATATTAGGTATCATAAGTAATCTAGATGATTTAAAGCTGTGGTTCCCAACATTTTTGGCACCAGGGACCAGTTTCATGGAAGACAATTTTTCCATGGACTGGAGGGGGGTGGGGGGAGGAATGGTTTAGGGATAATTCAAGTGCATTACATTTATTGTGCAGTCAAACCTCTCTACTCTCTGTATTTGCAGCCACTCCCCAGCACTAGCATCACCGCCTCAGCTCCACCTCAGATCGTGAGGCATTAGATTCTCATAAAGGAGCGCACAACCTAGATCCCTCCATGTGCAGTGTACAGTAGGGTTCGCGCTCTTGTGAGAATCTAACGCCACCGCTGATCTGACAGGAGGTGGAGCTTATGCAGTGATGCGAGCGATGGGGAGCAGCTGTAAATGCCACAAAGTTTTGCTCACCTGCCTGCCGCTCTCCTCCTGGTGCGCAGCCAGGTTACTAACAGGCCACTGACCGGGACCAGTCGGTGGCCCGGGGGTTGGGGGCAGCATATTTAAAGTATACGAGAGGATGTGTGTAAGTTATATGCAAATACTACACTATTTTACATCCAGGACTTGAGCATCCATGGATTTTGGTATCGTGGGAAGTCCAGGGACTAATCCTCCACAGATACCTAGGGATGACTGTATTTCAAAGACGTCAATTTTCCTAACTAAAGACCAAGATAATCCTGAAGAGACTGAAAAATAAGATCTATCGTATGTATTTCAAGAGTTACCTCCATTTCAAAATAATGGAGATGGTGTGGTGTGGATAGTAACACACAGGAACAGAACTGGAACAGACTGAGAGTCCAGAGCTAGACACACACCTGCATGCAAACTAGATCTGCAACAAAATTAGCATTACATATCACAGGAGAAAAGAGACATATTTCAGTAAATGGTGCCGGACAACTAGGCACCACACAGAAAAAAATCAGATTTCAATCCTACCTCTTATACACAAAAATTGAGTCTAGGTGAGCTCATGAATTAAATGTGAAAGGCAAATCTTTAATACTTTTGGAAGAACATATGGGGGAATTCAAGATGGGTAAGGAGAGATTTCGTAAAACAGAAAATGCACAAACTATAAACAAAAAGACTGATCAACTTAACTTCATTAAAAGTAAAAATCTCTATTCATCTATTCATCAAAATATGCCTTAAAGAGAGTATAAGGAGAAGTTCAAACTGGAGAAAATATTTGAAACACATATAAACAATAAAGAATATCTAGAATGTATAAAGAACTCCAACAAATCAATAAGAAAAAGATAACCCAACAGAAAAAGAAACAGGGATCTATGTGGAAAGACAGTAAATGACTTTTCAAGTTCTCTCTAAAACTTAAACCCAGGTAACAGATGATGGTTAAAATGTGACTCTTGTGACCTGTGCAGCAACAATTTGTGTGTGTATATGACGGCAGCCAAACACACCCTCATCTAAGCATAGGATTTGCATAAAATGGTAGCAATATATTAATAAAACTTAATACTACAAAATTTGGGGGTTTTTTTATAGGGAAAACAACTTAAAATGAAATTGTTACAATGATCTTTAGAGTAGAATGTTGTCCTATCTAATCTCAATCTAACTCCATTTGCTTCACACAGTTCTATTAACACTTGGTTCCCCTCCATCAACTCAGCAATGCTTTTACTTTCGTAATCTGGCCCAGTGACTTATCTCCAAACTCAGAGCACGTCTTCACTGAGCAGCCCCCTGACGTTACGACTCTAATCTGTAAACTGCGTTATATCGCTATGCATTGCCTGTGCACTGACTCTTCACCCGCCTCGTACACTTCTAATAGTTATCCTTTTTAACACTTGTATATTTATAGTGTTATGTTACATTCAGTAGATAATGAGTAACCAGCTCAAAACCAGTTACCATTTTAAAAAATTAAGGAAGGTCTGAAGGAAAGATAAAACTCACACTGAATTATAAACAACATCATTCAGAACAGAACCTAAAGAAAATCTCATGAACTCTAAATACCTTACTATCAGAAAATTTTACACAAATAAGCTAAATCATGAAATTTTCAAACTAAATGCAACTATGTCCAAATGAGTAAGAAATTTTAAGTGTTTATTAAGTACATTCATATAAAAAGTGTGAAATAATATAGAATAACAAGTAATTTGTATGAACCATGAATACAGAAATCTTTAATTCTACCACACAGGCTCCCCTAAAAGAGAAAGAAAAGCAGTAATAAAAACGATCTCTTGAATTATTCAAAGTATATGTAAAAATCCAAGCAAGGATCTCACTTAATCTAAAATTACTACAGTTGCATGCACTTGCTCAGCACTCTGTATGTGTATGTAATTTACTCAAGTGTTTCAGAAATTCGTTCACATAATCATCTTTACAAACTGCACGCAGAGCACTCCAAGTCAGAGCACTGCACAGGAAGTTCCTTCTGTTCCATCCTGGACTCCCTAGCTAGTGCTCAGTGCAGAGCAGAAAGCCGAGAAAGCTGTTTCCAGCCCCTGAAGGTCTGGAAGGGACATGGGGTGAACCAGTCTAAGGGGCTCTTGCTATTTGGGCTTTTCAGGAAGGGAAGTCTGACACCACTCCTCACCCAGCAGCTTGAAGCCATGGAAGAGTATCTTTAATTTAGCACAATAACTAGAGACAGTAGCCCACGGAACTCATAGGAGAGCGTTCCCACAGGCGGTGGATTTGCATCAGTTTAACAGGAACACATAAAACCTGCAACCGGTAAGGCTATCGGAAACCCTGGGGGATGAATGCTTAGATTCCAGCATCCTATCTTTCACCTGGGGAGAAAAGGGCCAGATGATGGGGAAGGGTAGGACTACGGTGTCCTGTGGGAGGAGAAAGAAGGACTTCACAGTCACACCGTAAGTGACAAAATTCCGTCTAGGAAAGAAGTGTTAACAGAGATGGCAATGTTATTCCATGCTTCACAGCAAGAAAGCACTTATTGCCCAAGACACCTGGAAGAGGTTTTTATCGGAACAGTTTTGCCCCAAAGACAGGAATCTATCTTTTCCAAGAAAGATTTAGTAAATGTCTGCTCCTGTGCAAAGGGCCATATTGAGCTCTGTGGGATGTTCAGAAATGAACAGGATGTAATCCGGCCCAGAGACAGCTGATTAGCTAGAAGCATCATTAGATTGCATCTGCATAACAATTAACATGAGCAAATGTAAGAATCCTAAAAACTCTAAGTGCTGTAGGAGGTTGGAAGAGGAAAAGCACCCCTCAGAGGCAGCAGTTAAGCTGGCCTTGAACGACAGCTGAGATTTGGCAGAGAACAGAGGGAAGGTGAGGAAGAAGACATTCTTGATGCAGAAAGCATGCAGAAAAGCATGATCTTCTGAAAACATGGAATGTCCACAAACAGCAGGAATCCAACTTGACTAAGCCGTAAGTCTGTACTCAGAAGAGCAGTGAGAGGGAGGGCTGGAAATGCAGGTTGGACAGGTCATGGAGGACGGACAGCCACGAGGTGGCCATGGGCACGTCACAGCAAAGGGCCAGGAGCATGAGGGAGCTGGGCGGCAGCAGCACCTGCTCATGCTGACATTTGGGTGGGACATGAGGGAGAGATGGTCAGGAAAAACAGACCCATGTGGCCAGATGCAGGAAGCACCTGGGGCGAGAAGAATGGGAGGAGGCGCCCAAACACGGCCGAAAGAGAACAGTCAAGGACAAGGCAAATTTCAGGCCCTGATCTAAGACTAGTCAGGAGGAACTAACTGAAGACAAGTTAAGAAAAGAAAGAAGTTTAAGAAAGTTTATGCTGTCATCCTTTCTAAATACCAATCAACTGCAGTGAGATTCAAAACATTCAACAAACATCACCTTCGGAAGAAAAAAGGAGGGCATGTTTCTTAAAAACAAGCAATATGCTACCCAAAATGTCTAAATGTGAAAGCTTATTAAAATTACCAGGTAGAAATGGTGATTTCTTCTTTATAATTTTTTTTTCTTTCTTTTCCAACTTCTCTGGGCTCTCCTGTTCTTTCTCTTGCTCTGCATCTGCAGGGTCAGTCTGCTCATTTGAAACATTGGAAACATCTGGATTCCGAATCTGCGTTCCAGAAGCCGTGGCATGGCTGGGGTCGTTAGGGTGTGCGGCAGCTGGAATTGAAGACAGCCCACTGTTTTCTAAGGCTTGCTAAGACAGAACAAAACTAAAAGGTTAGAAGAGACGGTGGCCCAAATCTGCCTACCAAAATCAATCACAAAGATGTCATAAAGCTACACCTACAGAATTCTACTTGCACTCCAAGAAATAAAAAATCTACAATTCCAAGTGATCATTTACTAAGTGAGGCTTCCAACTCTTTGAGGCTGTAACATCCCTTTTGATATCTGACATCTCACCCCCACCCAAAATATGATAAGCATTTACATATCCAAATTAAAGGAAATTAAAATTAATTAATTTGACTTTTAGAAATATTACCGCAGACAACTTTGGTTGTTTCTAAACAGATCTAAGAATCCCTATTTGGGGGCATAAGTTACTTTGGGTTTACCTTTAAGATACGGGCTATGGAATGACATCCCAGATTCCTTACCCCCTGGCCAATTTTTCACCACGAAGGTAAGCAGGGAGGTCAGTTTAGTAAATACCAGAGGAGAGGGGCGGGGGAAGGCCACCTGTGCTTGGAAGTAAGGGAGTTTTATGACTGTAACGCTGGACTAGAAGAATCAGAGAGCTCCGTGCCCTGCGCCCACTCCCCCTCTGGTCCCACACGTGCATGGACCAGTCCACCCGGAAGAAGGAGGCCAGTCCTGATGCTTGCAGAATCGTAAACACCTACAAGTGTCTCAAAAGCATACAGCAGAACCTCAAGAAAGTATAAATTATCTTTTCCACCTCTGTCAACAGATCCAAGCTCTGAAAAGTGTATTCTTTTTTGAGTAAATTCACTTATGGAGAAAAACTAAGGGTTTTCAAATATTTTAATTTGTAGATAAAGAAATCATTTAGAATTCTGCACTGTCCATAAGCAATTAAGTAAGCGTATTTGTTTCACTATAATTTGTTTAATTCAGACACATTTTTAATTAGGATACCTTTACTTGGACAAGCCCTGCGCAGTTACTTTTCAACAGCCACCCCTGCTTTCTGACAGAGCGTAAGCGTGTAAACCTCGGCTGCCAGGTAAGCGTGCTTCACCTGCAGAATGTCCTGGTTGATGCCCACTGTGATGCTGAGTTGCTGCGTGGCGGCAGGGCACTGGTTTGACTCCACAGGCCCTGGCTCCGAGAGTTCCAGAAGCTGCTGGATGACGTCGGTCACTGCCTGAGAATTCTGCTGACTTGAGGCTGACGTGACTTGGGCTTCTGTCTGCTGAAGAGGTAAAGTCTGAAAGAGTGTGGCCTGCAACACAGCAATATTTTCATTAAAAATACAACTTTGCTCTTCAATTAAGAAAATAAAGAAAGAGGCAATACCCTCCTCCTTAAGAGCATTAAAATCTCAACATAAATTTTAAATACGATGCCTCACTGATTTTTGTGTTAGGCACAATATTGGCTGTTAAAAGAACATACTCGATGAATTGGTCTGCTACAATTTTTTAGAAGTGTTTTAGGTGGGCAGTAGACTACTGATCAGAGATGGCAGACTGAGCACACAAACCCTCACCTTCCTGTTAGCCCAACAAAACAAAGTGAAAGAATTTAAAAAGTACAGTTACAAAAATTTTTTTTAAAGAAAGAAACCGATGTAGTCAAAAAAAAATTTAACATTTCTGAAAAACAGGGAGATGGAAGAATAAACGCTATGTAATGCTACGGCCCAGAAGATCTAAGAAGGGGCCGCAATGGCAGAGGAAGCCCACCCGACTCCTGCGGCAGCCGGGGAATGAGAATGCTGTATGCACGAGAGCGGAAGGCAGTGAGGACACAGCGCGACGCTGCTACGGTGGAGACAGGCGTAACGCCGGGGCTGAACTCCATGTAAACTGCGGACTTCAGCGAACGAACGATAAGATGCCAATATTCATTCACCAGTCCTAACAAATGTGCCGCACCAACGCAAGGTGCCAATAACGGGAACCTGTGGGGATGCGAGATGGAGAGCACACGGGAGTTCTCTGTACTTCGTGCTCAAATTTTCTGCAACCCAAAATTGCCCTAAAAATGAAGTCCATTGATTTAGAAAAAAAATAAAGACAGAAGAAAAATACTTATAGTGAAAATGAACCCCCTTACCGTCCTCCACAGAACAAGTGGCAGATAGGCACTTACGTTTAGGCAAAAAAATGAGGGATTACTCTAACAAAGATTACAAAGAATGAACTATTAATATCTGCAGAGAGCCAGGGCACCTTCTGTGGCACTTAGTTCCCCGGACTTCCGTGTTGTGCCCCCAGGGCTCCCTGCAAGGCTGGTTCCAACACTCACACGTCACGTGACCCGCGGATCACGGCACCATCCACAAACAGCTCACGCGCACGGGCTCACTGCTGCCCGTTTCCGAAACACAACAGGCAACCGCAGATGCAAGATTACAAAATACGTGCCAGAGGGAGGCAGATAACACAAGGAGCAGAAAATCACTTTTAAAAAGAAAACGCTCATTAGGTTTCAGAGAAAGTACATCAAACCAGAAAAAAAAATCTCGAAAAAGCAACAATCAGATCACAAAGGAGAGCTCTCAGAAATTAAAAACCTTACTACAAAAAAATCAAAAAAGCATCTTAAGATAAAGCCAAAGAAACCTCGCAAAAGTAGAGCAAAAAGGCCAAGAGTTAGAAAATGTGAAAGGCAAAATAAGAGACGTGTAGATCAACCCAGGAGGCTGAGCAGGGATTCCTAGACAGTCCTAAAAAAGAACACATGCGTCTTAACCTACAGCGCTCTTACAGGCCCAAATTAGGGAACAAGGTAGGGTAGATTCAAGGTTTCTAAATCCCTACACTTCATTTATTTGGCTTCTATTGAGAATATGAATTTTTTAAATGATCTGTATTATTATTCCAGGTTATTCACTACATGTACATTTTGATTTGCATATTGCCAAAGGAAATGATGAAAACTCTAATAATTTGATTTATACATTGAAAACTTTATTTTAAAAAATATTCAGCCCAATTTTCAAGACTGAATTGTTTTTAGACTCTAACTATTCTCCAGTTTTATAATTTGTTTTACAACACTGCCCCTGATCGACAATAAACTCAGGGAATCACCCCAAGCTGCAAATACTGTGAGAAAAGAAAAAATAAACACTGAAAGTGAACCTGATGTTTAGAAACCAAGTATCAACTAGACCTATTTTCCCTGTTGGGAGGAGGCCGTTGTTGACTTAAACTACAACTAAGTGCATTCATAAGCATACATTAAAACTTCTGAGACTTTTGTGTTTAATGTCCACTACTTTTAAGATACCATATTCTATATCCAGGTTTTGTGATTTTTTTAATCATTTGGGAAGGCAGTGTAAAAGAAGTAACTGATTGAAGCTAAGCTAAGAATCCTACAAAAAAAGAACAAAAGTATGCACATCTGTGGGGTGTGTGCATGTCTCTGTGTGCCTATGTGTTTGTCGGTGTGTGCATGCACATGTCTGTGGGGTGCTTGTATGCTTCTGTGTGTGCGCCTATGGGTCTGTGTGTGTACATCTGTGGGGGGGGTGTCTCTGGCATGTGCCTATAAATGTGTGCGCACGCGTGTATGTGTGTGTGCATGTGTGTGTGTTTAGAGTCAATTTTTAAATACATGTACTGGAAAATACAATTTAGTTTCAAAAGTCCAAAGACTTGGAAAAATTATCACCGTCACATTAGAAAAGGAGAAATATTATCTACAGAGAATAATTAATTCTTAAATTATCATGTCAGATAAAGAATATCCAATAGTCATCAATAACACTGACTGAGATCCTTTGTAGTTCATAAGCGTGACGACTGGATTTTCACGCTCATGTGTGAAATGTGCCTCCCTCAAGCCTTGTTACGACGTCGGCACATTAACCATCGGACAAGAGAGGAAAAAAGAAAAAAAATAATAAATTTTAAAAAAACACTAACTACAGGAATTATAATTTCATAAATTAATAATTACATTTTGTCTTATTTTTACAGGTTGAGATGAAAGTCCATAAATCAGTATCATCTATATTATTTTAAAGTTTAAAAAGATTGACTTGCACTAAATTAAAAAAGGAGCACCTTATCTCCATATAAAAAACTTTCATAGCACCTTTGTGCTACTAAATATTCAATCCTAAAGGCCATATTTAAAATCACAGATTTTAGTGAAAAAAATCCTTCTGTAACCAAATTACTAAACTTACCGTTAACACATGAGCAGTCTCTGTGGAACTTGTTGAATTCTGCGGCCCACCCATGTGCATCTTGCTGATGTGCGTGTTTAAGCTGCCTAAACTTTTAAATACACAACTACATTCTGTACAATTGTAAGTAGGACCATTCTTGACCTTAAAGAATAAAAAAGAAAAAAATGATTTTATATAATTCATTGTTATATCAAAATATTTAAATTATGGCAAATCATAATTTACAATTCCATTCAAAGTGACAGCAGCAATCTAACCCTTCAACTTTGCTTTTTTTTTAAATAGGTAGCTCCAGAATCAACAAACCAACTCTTTAATCAATATTGCCAGTATGACATTAATTAAAATTTAAGACTTTTCTGTAAATTAGAAATGGTTTCAGAGTGAGAAAACATATTCTTCAGTTACTGTAATTTGAGAAAAATAAAATGTCAAACATATGATGTTCTCAATTTTTTAAATGGCTCCATAGAGTGTCCGGTAATGAAGGCCAGACAGCTGTAAATACGTATCACACTGAACAAGCTTTGGGGGCCAACACACACAATGTGTAAACTCTTCATCACCAATTCTGATATGCCATATCAATGATTAATTTTAAAAACTATGATAAAGCCAGAAACAGATGACAGAAAGCAGTGAAATGAGTAAGAACAGCCTCAACAAGAGGAAACATCAAAAATATTCTTTCGCTATCACTCAAATCCGAAGTTAGTTCCTGTTATATTTATGAAGGCTGGCGTGAAAACTCATTGCCCCTGCTAAACTTGAATAAGACTTCCATTCTATTTCTAGCACCTTGTTAAGAACCAAACTTGAGGCTTAGATCCTCAAAGGATTGGATAAATATGTACAAACCAATCTTTAGGGTCCTTCCTGAAATACGCCATCCCACCACAAGGCCCACGGTGCCTCTCGACAGGGACAGGGAAATTGCTGGCACCTAACAGGGTTTTCTAACTTAGGAGCACTGAGTCTCTCACAGGGCTGCTCCAGGGTTCCAGTGAGGTACATCTGTGTGCTACACAAACGCACAGTTATTCCTGGTCAATCATCTTTGCTCAGAGGCAACTCTGCAAAAACGAGTTGTGCAGCCCAATTTTACCCTCCTTCATCTAAAGGTAACCTCACTGCACATTATCAACACCTCACTGACATTTACATGCCCTTCCTAACGTCTCTGCGTCATAGATAATAAAAAGATTAACTCACTGCGAATGGAATTCTGAACCTGCTTATACGCTACATGAAGTGTGTAGAGTTTTTTTCATTTTAGATTCCTTTTTTTCATTTTAGATATTATTCTGCTTATCTAAGATCATAGACAACTTCTATTTCTTGTTTTATTAAGTTTGGACAAAGGTATACTATTAACTCTCAGTTCAGTTAATGTTACTTTAGGTATTACACCAAGGAAAAAATTAAAAGAGACATATTTACTTTTAAAAATGTAATAGTTTTCATTCTGCAAAATAGTTTCATAGAATAAACTGATCCATGATAAAAGTATTTGTGTTGTTTAAATATTTCTTTATATTCTATAACTAGACAATAAGACAACAAATCATGACAATTAGTAAGAGCCAAGATTAACCCGCATAACAGAAATACTTCCAGAGGATCTATAAATCAGTATGATCTGTAGGCAGCAGAAAATTACGAGAGAAAATTGTGCACATCATTTTAGTTGAAATAGTTACCGTGCGGCATGGTGGGACAATAGACCAGGACCCGGACACAGAATGTGAATGTGCCAAACGGGGCCAAACATAAACCCAGCAATATTAGCAGCAAGAAAAGTACTTACTCAGAATAATGCATTGTAGCTAACAAAGGTATTATGATTATTTTCAAACACTTATTCATCAAAGCTATTCTGTCAGCAAGAAGATAAAAAGACAGTATTTTATATTTCTTCCATATATAATAAATCAAAAAAGGTTCCCATATATATCTTCTAAAACAGGATATGCTGAGCACAAACTCAGTCTGCATATTTAAAAAATGGAAAAGAATTTCTCAGGTTGGCCTGTTAACTCAAGATACCTGACACGCACTGTGAAATACTGCGCACACCCAACACCGTGCTTACCTCCGAATGAACTCTCTGGACGTGTGACTGCAGATTCCCTTTCTGAGAGAAGGCGGCAGGACAGAAGGCACAGGCATGGGGTTTCTCACCTGTATGCTTGATCATATGCGTCTGCAATGCCCCCTTCTGGTTAAAAGCTTTCCCACATTCACTACATTTAAATGGCCTTTCACCTAGAGAGGGAGAAAAATGATCAAAATATAATTCCATATTGTGTGAGCATCTTATGGATTAAAAAGAGAAATATTCAAGTTACCCAAACTCAAAACCCTAAACCTATTCCTTCAGCCAGAACTTCTCCCCAGACTTCCTGACTCCTATCTGCGATTCTCTGCTCAAAATCCCAATGTCAGCACACCCAAAACTGCACTCTTGACCTTCATCTCCCAAACAGGCTCCACCTGCAGTCTCCCCGGGCCATGCCGTCCGTCCAGGAGTTCAGGCCAAAACCGGGGAGTCATCCTTATCTCTGGTTCCCCTCATGTCCCACACTCAATGTATCAGCAAACCCTGCCCGTTCCACCTTCAGGCACATCCAGAGCAGCCCTGCTCCCCGCACACAAGGACCTCGGGTAAGGACCAAGAATACGGAGATCCAGTACCTGCTTTGTTACTCTAGACCCGATTAGCCCGGTAACACCTGACACGCAGTGACACTCAAACACTTACTAAGTGAACCAATGAATCCCATCCCAATAGCAATAACAGTATCAACTCCTGCTTACTGACGGCCTACTCCAGGAGCACTTTTCTAGGAGCACTACATGTTTTTCCATTTATAATTTAGGATAACTCTGTGCAGATGTAACAGCCACATTTTTCAAGTGAGGAAATGATACCACGGAAAGATTAAGTAATTTCACCACGATCATCCAGCAACTACGGAAGCGCCAGGACCAGACCTCAGGTCCACCTGGCACTGAGGAGCGTTTCCTTTCAAGCCACATAACAAATCGTTGGGAAGTAAATGTTTTTCATACCTGTGTGTATCCTGATATGTCGCGTTAACTGACTTGGCTTTTGAAACGTCTTTCCACAGTGTGGACATGAATACGTGAATCCGCTTCTGTCAATGTTCCGATTGTAAGACCTCGTACCTGACACCCTAGTATGATACAGAGGGGAAAACACGTTAAGTTGTCTCCTTTATGTTACAATTTCACAATGAAACTCTTACCAGAAAAAGCGTAGCTAACTGACCAAGGAACATGTTTTAATGATAAATCAATCATATGTATGTATAGGACACATACACACCCACACACACATATGCATGTATTAGTTTTGTGTATTTGAAATCATAAAATTCATTTTTTCTATTTCTGTTCCTCACCCAAGTCCTATCACACGCATCCCCCGGAAGGCCTATACACAACAGCCACTTCACCAGCCCCTCTCACCCTTACATCACCCACATCAACCCAATTTCTGTCTTGCTCAGCACCTGTCACTCTCTGAAACTGTCACACTGACTAACCCATCCGCTTGGTCACTGTCTGTCTTCCCTGCTGAGTGACAGTTCCATGAGTATCAGGCCTCCTCTGTCTGGTCCATCCCTCAAGCGGGAAGACTTAGAAGGTGGGCTGCCTGTGAGCGTAACAACCAACTAAACGTCTTCAACCATCTTTCTAAAACCCCTGAAGAAACATCAAAAATGCCTGTGTTAAAACTTCACCAGAATAAAAATCTGATGTTTATAGAGAACAGGCGTTATATTTTGAGGGTTTAAAAATCACTGAAATAGACTAGGTGAGGTGGCACATGCCTGTAGTCCCAGCTACTTGGGAGGCTGAGACAGGAGGTTCACTTGAGCCCAGGAGACCAAGGTTACGGTGAGCTATGACTGCACCATGGCACCCCAGCCTGGGTGACAGAACAAGACCCTGTCTCTAAAAATAAATAAATTGAATTTAAAAAAAAAAAGGAAAAGACAAGCGATGGTTGATCATATGGAAATGTTGTTCAGTCCACATTTCTAAAACTCAATGTCTAAGAGGATAAATACTAGAATCTTCAAGCACTTTATAAACTTTATTAACTGGTATAGGATTTCTTGTTGTTAAAAAATACAGATATTTCCTAAATATCGGGGCTTAGAAGGGTGGCGAGCTAAACTGATAATACAACAGTTAAAATAGGGAACACTTATTCTGTTTTATAGAATGAAGTGTAACGCAGTTTTAAAAAAATGATAAACTAAAAAATAGTTAAAATGATGATTGATATGCCTTTTACAGTTTGTTGGAGAAATTAGCTAATGAGTGTGCCAAGTGCTCATCACCATTAGCTAACTTGAGGACAGGGCCAGGAAGAACTCTTTATTTCATTTTATTAAGAAATGGAAATATCAATAAAAATATATAATCAGGAATAAGTAAAATATGAAATTTTGAAAAAATATTAAGTTTAACTAGGAATAAATATATATATATATATATACACATTCAAATATAGTTACAGTTGTTATGATTATGAGGCCTAAAACCAGACTATTAGAGTTTAAATCTCAAACTCTCGACTTACAAGCAATAAAACCTCATAAAATTACCTGGTCTCTCAAGTTTTCTCATCCACAAAATGGGAACATAAAAGTACACTGGCCTGACTGGGCTGTCTGCAATGATTAAATAGGGCTCTGTTTACATGTACACTAAGAACAGTGCTGGGCGCACATTAGTCTCAACAGCGAGGTACTACAAAGAAACGAATTCATTAAAAAGGGTGCTAATTAAACCCCTGTGAATCTGCCTGACATATTTTGTTACCTGCCATACAAACGTATTGCTAGTGCCTTGTTCTACAGCTTTTATAATACTAGCTAAACATTCCTACCCACACAGCCTGACGCTTATTCATAATATTGGCACTTACCTTCCCTACTATAGGCATGAACCAGGCAAGCAATAAAAGACATTCTGACACCATACCAAATTATCTGTGTGGTTCCACTTGCTGTGTTCTTGCAGCAAATATTTTTAGTTGATGGTGGTGAAGTATGCCAACTTTTAACATATTACCTAGATTTTTTTTTTTTACCAAGCCCAAGTAATGAATCCTACCTAATTTTATAATGCGTCTTCATGTGCTCCTTCAGCTCTGACGAGGTTTCAAACTCTTTCTTGCAGGCCTTACAAGTGTGCGGCCGGGTTCCCGCCAGCTCCTGGCGGTGCTCCTCCATGTGGATGGCCAGCTGGCTCTGCAGAGTGAACTCATCCCCACACTCAGAGCAGATGAGGTTCTGGAAACAAAAGGCCGTCAATGAGCAGGGCAACATCCCAAACCATCACTTCCTAAAAGAACTAGTATTATAAATGGTCGATATACCAAGTACACTTTCCTCTGAAACGAGCATCATTTTAACCTCTCAAAAATTATATTTGAATATATAAAAACCATTTCTTTATTGGAAGCAAAAGAAACACTTGGAGAAGGATGAGAGGATGATATAATTTTTGAGCAAAGTGAATTCTGTTTCAGGTTGGGCACTGGGTCCACCTGTCCCATGAACATATTAGAGAAACAGAATGGCTTCAACAAGCCAGAGGGGTCAGGAGAGAATTCAAGTTAAGACTAGAGTTTGAGAGACTATTTTAAAACAAAATGACAGTGGATGAGTATGTATTTATCTATCTCTGTCTTACAGATGAGGTCTTGCTATGTTGCCAGGGCTGGTCTTGAACTCCTGGGCTCAAGTGATCTGCCCGCCTCAGCCTCCTGAGTACTGGGATCACAGGCGTGAGCCAACTTGCCCAACAGCAGATAAGTTTTCAAATGGGTATACCTCATCCTTCTTTCAATATGGGCACAGGCAGAGCACAGCGTGACCTACAAGGCTCACTGAGGATGTGAACCGGGGGCAATCTGAACCCAGGTATGGAGTAAATGAAAAATACACACAAGTATATCAGACTTGGTACAAAAAACAAAGAATGTAAAATAGCTCAATAATATTTAATATTTGCTTAGGCCAGTAAGATTGGAAAGGTGAGAAAAAATTAAAAAAGAAAAAAAACTTTAATATTTGAATTAATAATATTTTGTGTATATTTTAAGAAACAAATATATTGATAAAGTTTATTTCACCTGTTTGGGGATTTTCTTACTTTTTAAAATGTGGCTACTAGAAAATTTAAAATTACTCATGATATATTTCAATTAGATGATGCTGGTCTAGATGTCCCAGAGCTTAAGGCTGCCAATGACTAGCTACGTGGATGTGGGCGTGCTGCCCCGTCTGAGGCTATAGAATGGGAAGAACAACACCACCTGCCCGCACAGGGTGGTTATAAGGTTCAAAAAAATGACGCATGTAAGACGCTGACAGTTCGTGGCCCAGAGTGAGTCCTCAATAATTACTTCAATCAGTACCAACTGCTGACTTAGCATAAATTTCAATCACTTCACTCTTTTGGAGTTCCATAACACAATTGCAGCATTTACTTAAATGAACTGTACAAACATGAAAAGACACGAGTATCATCTGTCAATGAGCATAAACTATTATTTCCAGATAACAAAATATGTAGCTATTTCTATCAGACTTTCTTCTAATTACTGTACATACTAGTCTCGTAAATCTCTTTAAAATGAGGTTGTTAACTGACACTACCTAAAGCTACACTGCAGAAAAAGACAAAGATAAAAGAGACATTTTGAGCAATCCAATAATAATTCCAACTTAAATTTAACTTTAAGTTAGTATTATTACATAATAATTTAAGAAAAATGAACTACTAGATTGGTAGTAATTTGCTGATGATAAAGAAAATTTGTTATAGGAAACCGTCAACAGAAAAAAAAAATCTGTCATGATTTGCTGCACCTCTTTAAAAACACTTTATGGGCCGGGCACGGTGGCTCACGCCTGTAATCCTAACTCTCTGGGAGGCCGAGGCGGGCGGATTGTTTGAGCTCAGGAGTTTCAGACCAGCCTCAGCAAGAGCGAGACCCCGTCTCTACTAAAATTAGAAAGAAATTAATTGGACAACTAAAAATATATAGAAAAAAAAAATTAGCCGGGCATGGTGGCGCATGCCTGTAGCCCCAGCTACTTGGGAGGCTGAGGCAGGAGGATCACTTGAGCCCAGGAGTTTGAGGTTGCTGTGAGCTAGGCTGACGCCACGGCACTCTAGCCCGGGCAACACAGTGAGACTCTGTCTCAAAAAAAAAAACAAACACTTTATGACTTCAGCACTCCCGAACGCCGTACGGCAAGAGAAAGTCTGCGCCTTTCATCCACGACGGTCCCACCCCTCTCCCATGTCCCATTCCCATCCTTCCTCTGTTACTGCCCCGGCTCCCCCCCATTCTCTCTTCACTGACTTTTTACCAAGTGATCAGATTAATGTATTTCAGGGGATATCGACATGGATATTACTCAGACATCTGTCGGAACCGTCCGAGTGAAAACCGCGGTTCATGCACAATTTGGCCAGGTGGTGACTGCAGCATCAAGCACTCCCTGGGCCACTGCCAAGACGTGCCACCTTACAGAAGGAACACTGCCGTCCCTCCACTTTCCGCCCAGCAAGCCAAAAGGAGAGGGTGCACCTCCCTGCCCCTCCACGTACCGACAACATCTCTGCATGATCATGGGCACTAGGATAACAGACCTTCCATTTACTGCCTTCTCCACGCGCAGAGTTAGTATCGGTTCTCTCCCTAGGAGCAGAGACTGCCCTGCGGTAACTCTGAGCATGCTTAGTGGCCAGCAAAATCATCAAGGGAAATGCACAGCACTTTAGTCACCCTCCCCCTTGCTGAGGATACGGGAATCCGAATGGCTCTAAAAAGCCAGAGCGTGCAACGTGATGAGACACTGCGCTCCCCTTCCAGCTCCCACCCGGGCACTGGGAGGGCAGCGTCCGTCCACCAAGACCCTGCCTATCTGGCCACGCTCCACCCCACACACCGTCCTACCTCCTGCCCCAGCTTCCTCAGGACCAGGCTCTCTTCCCAAAGTAGCCTCTGTTGACCTCAAATGGTGCTCAATGCACAAGATAAACCTAAAACCCATCCCGAAAATGCTGCTCTTCCCTGGTCACTTACAGGACCTGGTCCCCGGCGCTCTTCATTTGTACATGCTGCCGAGATGATCAGTAAATGTGAACAGCGGCCTCCCATGAGCCAGCGTGCAGGAGTGTGTGTGTGCGTCTGCTGCTCCTCCAAACGTCCTGCAACCCCCTTAAGGGAAGTGATCTAACTCAACGAATAATGTGAACTTCGATAAGTATGTGAATTTTAAGAAAATAGTCCTAAGTCATTTAAAAACAACAATAATTTTTCTGGTTTACTTCTCTGGTTTTGAGATTTACATTGATAGAGTAGTGACCACTGTGAACTTTAGACTATTAATCTCAATAGAGCAGTAAGTAAAAATGAGCTTACAGTGTTCTAAAAGTAAAAACTCAAAAATGGAACACCTTAAACTAAAAAGTTAATTATATATTCCTTCCTTATTGGGTCCTTAATACAATTTTTTTTAAATTAAAAAAAAAATAAAAAGTTAATTATAGTTCATGGGAACATATAAGATGTGTTCACAGGTTATTTTAAATTCAATTCTAATGACGTATACTTTATATACAACAAATGCACCCATTTTAAGTGTAACTTTTTACCTGTCCAATCCGACAGTGATGATTTGAGAATTTAACCCCTAGCAGGCAACCTTGGTCCTATTTCCAAGGTTTCTGGGGACCCTGCACAGGTGCCCCAGCACTCTCCAAACCCAACAGACCAGGTGCCCCCACATTCATCTCCAACCTCCCTGGAGCAGCCGCAGCCTCTCCCCAGACGCCAACTTGCCAGCACCTTCTACCAACCACACTGCTTTCCTCAGAAGGCTCTTCTCAGCGTCCTTGCACTAAAAGGTGAATATTCTAAGAAGTTACAATTTCGACAACCGTCACTAGTTAACTCCTGCTATATACCAGGAACTGAGTAGGGCCATTTCACGTCTAGAGTTAAGTTTCTGGGAGACGATGTGTTGTCAGATCACACAGGGAGCGGGGGTTTGTTTGCTTTAATACACTCTGCCAATGTATTTTAACTAACGTATTATACTTAGAATATTCACATTTAGAGCAATTACTGATGCTTTAAGGCTGAAGTTTGTCATTTTATTACTTGTTGTTTATTGACGCTGTTTCTTGTTCTTCTGCTTCTCTTTGCTTGCCTTCCTGGATCACCAATTAGAACTTTCTAGAATTCATCTTGATGTGTTTATAGCATGTCTGCGTACGTCACTCTGTACGGCTTGCCTGCAGATCGCTCTGTGTACGACTACACGCACATCACGTATCCCAGTCTTTGTTTTGCCAGTCTTTTTGTTCTATTCAGGCCTTCGGCTGATTGACTGAGGTCCACTCGTGCTAGGGAAGGCAATGTGCTTACTGAAAGTTCAATGATTTAAACATTAATCTCGCCAAAAACACCCTCCAAGTTGATACACAGTATTAACCACCACACCCTTCTTCTCTTTCCTTTCTGAAGTTCCAAGTCTCCTTCTGTTTTCACCTCCTTTCTCTTTGCAGACTTCTTCTAGGGATTCTTGAGGACAGGTCTGCCAGCAATAAATTTTCTTAGTTTTCCTTCATCTGGGCATGTCTTTATTTCCCCTTCATCCCGAAGGACAATTTCACCACATACAAAATTTGCAATTGACAATTCTTTTCTTTCAGCAACCGAAAATGTTGTGTTTTCTTCTAGCCTCTATGGATTCAGATGAGAAATTTGCCGACATTAGAATTCGTGTTTTCCTTCAGGTTACAGATCATTTCCCTCCAGTCTCTTTCAAGATTCTTCTTTGAGTTTGTTTAGTTTTCAGTGTTTGATTATGGTGTGTCTTGGTGTGGACTTCTTTGGGTTTATCCTGTTTGGGACTGAATCAGCTTCTTAAATCTGTAAGTCATAACTTTTACCAAATCTGAGTCATTTCAGCCATTACTTCTTCAAACGTATTTTCGGCCCAACACTCTTTCTCCTGCCCTCTACGGTGACTGTGATTCCAGTGTTGGGTCTTTTGTCCCTGTCCCAAGTTCCCGGAGGCTCGGCAACCTTGCCAGTCTACTTTCTCTCTGCTGTTCAGCCAAGTCCTTTCCACTGACGTGTCTCCTCGCTCACTGGTCCTCCCCGGGCCTCTCCACGCCACAGAGTTCTTTATTTCACTCACTGGACTCTTCGGTTCTACAATTTCCCTTTGGTTCTCTTTTCTATCTTCCATTTCTTTCTCCTATT